AAAGGCATGGATGCCATAGAGAAAATAACTACTTTGAAATGGAATTAGGTAGGGCACATTACAAGGCTAAACGATGACCGATGACGAAGAAAATAATAGAATGGAGACCAAAACTTGATGCATTCAGGAGCAGAGGCCGTCCTCCAACTAGATGGCATGACGACTTAAGGCGTATCCACAGTAACTGGTTGCAAATAGCTCAAGATAGGGAGTTATGGAAGCAAACGATGGAGGCCTACATCCAGCAGTGGACTTTAGTGACTAATGATGATGATGATAACCAATAATACCTCAGATATATATTATATGTCCGTCAATATTATAATATTGACAAGCATTACTGTACAAAACAAAGGTACCCGAAACATACAAACTAGATATAAACAGATTAAGGTATAGTGATTATAGTATTTTGTTAACTACTTTTTATTTAATATAACGTAATACATGATCTGGAATTATTAAGGCGAATAGATTGATAGTTAGAGAGTGAAAGTATTTTTTATATATTTTAATATCTTTTTACATGTCCCCGGATTGTCTTTACAAGAGGAAAAAAACTTTATGACAAACATTCTGAAAAAATGCATTCTTCATAAAAAATTTTACTTGTTCTAAAATAGTTAATCCTGTTTATACATGTACTTACTTATACCAAATTTCCATACCGTTTCAGAGAATTTTAGAGAAAATTGAAAAAAAAACGTGATAGGGAAATAGTTTATTTATGTGAAAACAATTCCCACAGAGAAATATGATATAACAAAAACAGATACGTTGAATTTAATAGAGTTTCGACTAAAACAACAATCAAAATAGATGGAAAATAGTGTTTGTTAAGTTTTAATTGATAGGAAATGCTGTATCGCCTAAATCTAAATTGCATTGATTCTTCCTCCCATTATCATCAATACAAAGACAACAATAAGCTGCATAATTTGAATTGTCCTCTAACAATACAGACAATTTAATCAATCGAAACATAAATACAAAAACTAAATTTTAGTTTATTTTATCGAAATCCAATTTTAAAGTTTATACCCTTTAAATACATTTATAATAGATATTTCATCTGAGTAAAATGTGGCTCCTTTGAGAATATTCCATTATTATAAATGTGCTAAAATAATACTGTTCTAAAATTATAACAAATAAAAAAAATGAACTTTCTAACCCACTGTAGCTACGAAACAAAGCAGAATCGGACCTATGTGGATATGAAAAATAAATCTTATTTAAAAAAAATAATCTGGGGAATCTCTCCAAGAGAGATGGCACATGTTTTTCTAAACATCCTGTATAAATGACCGATTTTTGTTAAAAACGAGTGCTTTCATCTAGGCGGCTAAAACTTACTACACTTATGTAAAGTTATAAAAAGAAACAACATTTACAAATAAACAATTTTTTCAAATTCAGCCATAAACTGTTTTTTTTGCCATTTATTTTGTAAAATATTTTTTTTAATTTAACAGGTACCCGAGAACAATAGATAATTTTTTTGATGTAATTTCATCAAATTCAAAGCACAAACTAACGCCAAAATAAAATTTCACCATTTATAAATAAAAATTCCATATGATGCAGACTTTTGTAACACAGTATAAATTTTTTTATTTGTTCAAAAATATTTTTGCAGTCTCTAGTATATATTTTTGGTGTCTAATATATTTATTTTCTTTGCTGTCTAGACAGGTTTCTTGTTCATATTGACTATTCCTTTGTTTATATTTGTTATTAGAACAAATAAACGCTTACTTATTGATACATTTCTCTATAACTCGCAGTAAGAAATCTAGCAAATAACACCACCTACCTGAATTGGGTTCGTTGTCGCTGTTAGGCCTGGCCGACGGTGCCCCATCCCGCGCCTCCACTTCCAAAGCGTATGCCCCCTGCTTCTCCCTATCGAACACCACCTTGGTAAACACCTCCCCGGTCTCCTTGTTGATTTCGAAAAAGTCCTTGCCTTCGTTCCTCGGTGATTCGACGATGTAATAGTATACCTGTAATAAAAAATAGTTTTCAATGTCAGTTTAAAAGATAAATATTTAAAGACTATATTTTAGTTAAAACTATTGTGGCTTAACTTTGTTTACAAGTCAATATCTTATATGCCGGGTGTTCTCAAAAATGGCTCACCCCTAATAACTTTTTTATTTTTTTCAGATAAAAACAACGAGATTTTAGTTTCTTACGCATCGCCGACGGCGCAAAAGACATTAAAGGACAGGTTTCTAATTTATACATGAAAATGACATAACAGAATGTCTCTATGTTGACTACCGTCTATGGTCTAGTTTTGGTCTTGTTGACACAATGTTGGTGATCCGTCAAATTATTTTTAAACCATTATTTAAATAATTATTAATTCACATATTCCTAATTTGTCGGAAAGTTCGGTAATTTGTGTGATATTTACAGTCGATCATCATTTTCGTAACAGTTAATCAGTAGTCTATAATATTTTTACTCTATTACAATAATTGTAATATATAGTAAAAATTATTAAATTATTGATTTGTTAAATCTATTGGTATTTAAAATGTATGTAATCATAATTTTAATTTTGTTTAGACTGTTACACTTTGAATAATCTAATAAAACAAAGAATAATTTTGGGTTTGAACAATGTTACCGTTTTAGTTAGCGTTAATAAGAAAAAAAACGCTAAAACTATGTTGTGCTAAAACTCTCCTTTAGTTTCTTCCGGATCACCAGGTGGCCCTAAATGACGGACCTATTTATCAGTGTCCAATCTATCTCTAGTAGGTACATGACATTAGTCTATGGTAGTACTTTTAACATTGTCGCATTTGGTTTATTTGAAATTGTAACATCCGGTTCATAACTACAATTTGACTCG